CGTGTGCGTGATACGAACCACCCCCGTCGGAAAATTTACCCATTTTACTTATTATTACAATTAATTACGGGAAAAATTAATTAATTAATTAATGTTTTTTTTTTTCGTTACGTTTCGCTTACGTAACGCGAAGTGAGAATAATAATAATAATAATAATAATAATAATAATAATAATAATAATAAAATTTCGAAAAGTTTGAGCTTTCCAAAGCAGAAAAAAATAAATAAATTCCTACGAATTTTTTTTGGGGCCCAGCCAGAGAAAATAAATTTTTTCTTTTTTTTCGTTGTTTTTGCTAAAAAAATTTTTAATGGCGGAACTTTTCTAAAAAAAAAAAAAAAAAAATTCAAAGCCAAAAATTTTTAAATATTTTTTAATATTACAAATCGATTAATCGAAATTTTTACAATCGAATCGAAAGGATTGGGTTGTTATTATCGAACGTTTGTTGTGTTGTCGTTGGGTTTGTTGAAGGGGAGAGTGGTAGGGGAGGATTCGTAATTGAAAAAATGGAGAAAGAGAGAGGGAGGAAATAGGAATGTAAGTAGAGAGAGAGAGAGAGAGAGGATACAGGAATGAAGGTAGAGAGGAGAGTGAGAGAGACAAAAACAAAATTACGTTTTTCCCCACAATCGAGTATTTACCGGTGGAGGAATGGGGGGTGGGTGGGATGGAGTGGGGGGTCTTTTTTCATTTTTTTCCCTTTTTTGCATGCCCCACCTTTTCACCATCTCTCTCCCCCCCCCACGGATATTCGATCTAATATTTCGTTTTTTTGCTTATTGCAGAATTATTAATTTGTTCATTATTAATAATAATAATATTTTGCACTTTTATTCAGGCACGATACCGAAATTATTTATCCGAGAATAATAATGATAATGATAATGATAAGGTTTTAATAAAACAGGTTTCCCCCTCCCCCCCCCATTGCAGATAATTGAAAATAATCGAATATTAATAATATTCATAATGATAATGATAATAATTTTTTTTTTGTTGAAATTTTTTTCTGGAATTTTTTTTTTTTTACGTCTCTCTCTCTCTCTCACACTCTCTCACTCTCTCGTATTTCTGTTTAAAATAAAATTAATGGCCGCTGTTTTTTTGTGTGTGTGTGTGTGTGTGTGTGTGTGTGGAAAAGGGCCAAAATACGTAATTTTGACACAGAAAATACAAATCCATGCCAAAATAATGACGTTGAAATTTTTTTTTTTTAATATTAAAAACGCGGAAAAAGCAAATTTGTGGAAAAGTGGAAAATACATAAAAAAAAAAAAAGAAAAGTTTTGCTTTTTTCTAGGCCAATTTTTTTCGTTTTATTAAAATTTTTTCGCACGTTATTAGAATGAAAAATTATTAATTTTGCTTTCGAAATTATGCGATGTGGGGGGTGAGGTGGGGGGGAGTTTTAGGGGGAGAAGGTGGGAAAAACGAAGTCGATGATGTGAAAATTCATGTCCTCACAGTCCAACAGGACTTTTCCTAAAAAAAATTATTATTATTATTATTTTTTTTTTTAAATTCTCGCGTGTGGCGTGCATTAATCGCGAATCACGTTTTTCTAAATAATAATAATAATAATAATAATGTTTTTTTTTGCCAATGGGCAAAATATTTTTTTATGATCATTTTAACGACGACGACTACGACTGGAGAAAAATGGTTTATAACAAAAACGTGAAGTTCCTCCCCCCCCCCAATTTATTATCATTATTATTATAAATGTTGTTGTGTTGTTGTAATACGTTCGCATTTGTACAAAATTTAAAAAAAAAAAAAAAAAAAAAAAAAAAGGAAAAATTGTATGCGTGTGCGCATGCGTGCGTGTGGGTATGGAAAAAAAAAATACGCATAAATTGTGTCATTGGGTATTAAAAAAAAAAAAAAAAAAAACCATAATTTTAGGCGTTACGCATATTATCAATCGTGAAAGCCAAACAAACAAACAAACAAACAAACGCCTGAAGTTCAATGATAATTCGTTATTATTATTATTATTATTATTATTATATTTTTTAATACGTGATAACAGTAATTAATAACTATTATTGAGCATGCGCAGAAAGCTAAATTTGTAAACTGCATTTTTATAATTTTTTTTTTTTTATTCCAAGTCTGCAACGTTATTATTATTATTATTATTAAATGTGATTTTTTATGTTTGTTTGTTGTTTGTGGTTGTTGTTGTTGTTGGAGAATTGACTTCGTTGTGTCATTTTTGTTTGTTTGTCGCGATTGTCGTTTACGTTTTTTTCCTTTATACAAAAAAAAAAAAAAAAGGAAGGAAAAAAAATTCGATTTAAAAAATTTAAAAGTAAAATTATTTAAAACGACGACGACTAAAAAAAAAATAACAAGCGAAAAATGACGTCACAGTTTTACGGTAAACCCTAGAATCAGTTAATTGAAAATACATTTCATTTCACCATGACCGTTTCATAAAGGCGGAGAATAACTTACTTCGTCGTCATGGTTAAAACACACTGTTTCCCCATGGGTTTGCTCCTCGCGTTTGATCATCTACGTCATTTCATTTAGCATAAAACGTATCCGTGACGTCACGTTCGGTCACGACTCCTTTCACCATGTAAGCGCGCGTGATTTATCAACATTCCAACGTTTTCGAAAAAAAAAAACAAAAAAAACAAAAATCAAATAAATTTTCACCTACATTTAGCTTACGATCCCTTAAATCTATTCCGCTCGCACGAAAAAAAAAGAAGGAAAAAAAAAAAAAATTAAACTGTTTGTTCATGTTCTTTGCGCACCGTAGAAAATTAACGTGACTCTCGGTAGAAATTTAAAAAGACGGAAAACGACGTCGTATAGCGTACCGTCGGAAATGTCTTTTTACGATACGATTCTCTTTTTTCTTTTTTTCTTTTTTTTTTTTTACAATATTGAATAGTAATGCAACGAATTTTATTCTTAAAAAAACCGGTTCCGTAAGAATAATGTATAGGATCGGTGTTAGAAAATCGTTTTCGACGTATGATAAACATGAGCGTAAAATTTAATATGTGTAAAATGTATTTCAAGTAGAGGTCTTTTAAAGGTCGTTTACGAATTGAACTTTACAGTGGGAGCGGTGTTTTTCAATTGAATGAAAAAAGGGCATATGTGTGAATGGAATTATGAAACAAAGAGAGAGAGAGAGAGAGAATCGATTATTATTATTATTATTATTATCATTATCATTATTATTTTTCTACAACTTTCAATTTCGAATATGAAACAAAAATATTTTTAGTTTTTTTTTTTTTTTTCATCATCATCATCATCATCATTTTGTTGTTCTTCTTCTTCTTCTTCATCTTGTTCTTGTTTTTCATTTTTTTCGTTTCTATATTTACACATGGACGAAATCAAAAACCAGAAATAAATTTTTTTCTCATTAAAAAAAAAAACAATCAAAGGAATGCGCGTCGGTTACATTGACGCTGTATAATAATAATAATATAACGTAGGGAAAAACGATTTCCCCCTCCCCCTCCCCCGATTTAAATATGGCGGATAAAACAAATAAAATCTAAAACGAATAGGGAAAAAAAAGAAGAAGACAAAGTGACGGTTATTTTTTTTTTTTTTTTTTTGAATTCACACGAAAGAGAACGTACCTTTTGGAATGGGGTGATGTATGACGTCACATCACGTGTAATGAGCAGAAAACGAAAAAATTATTATATGATAAAGAAGGCTGTGAAAATCGAAATATTAGCATTTGTTTTTACATAAATCAAAATGGCGGCGGATCGGTTATCGTGAGTGTGTGTGTGTGTGTCGTAAATGATGAATTTTTTTTTTCATTCTACGCGCGGGGAGAAAAATTAAATGAAAAATACTCCATTTTAATTTATTATTATTATTATTATCATTATTATTAATAAAAAGAAAGTGAAAATGGTGGTGGAAAAATAAAAAAAAAATTTTTTTTGTAAAAGTTTTCGTACGTGTGGTAATCGACGCGTGATTTTATTTATATTAAAACACGTTATGCAAATACGGTTAATGGAACGTTTTGCATAATTATTATTATCATTATTATTATTATTATTATTATTATTACGTACGAAAACGTACAGGTGTCGTATGTGAAGAAAATTGATGGTATTTGATTTCCCTGTGAAGTAGTGATGATAATAATATTGATGTGCGGATGTTAAGTTTTAACGGTTTTTACTTATATGTATTTTTCTCGTATTGAGATTTGTTTTTTTTTTTACTGAACAGGCTGAACAGATAAAAGGAAGAGGAAAAAAGGAATAAAAAAGGAAGATGTGGATTTATTATTATTATTGTTATCATCAAACAACGATCACGTATGTATATATATATATTAAAAAAAATTTTTTTTTTTTTTCGTTCGTTATTTCCTGGCAAGATTCGTCACTGATCGTGAAGAAATCGTGAAGAAGGAGCGCGGATCGTTAGCATTTTAAAAAGTGCGAGTTGTGCCGTTTTAACATTAAAATAAAACGCACACAACAAGAGAATTTTGTATCCCTATTTCGAGTTGGAAGTCAGTCTGGGAAAGACCGTCGAATCGCAAGTGTCGAAACGTTTTTTTTTTTTTTTTTTTTGTGTATTAACAAAAAAAAGTCGGCGTTTGTTTTCAATATTCGATTATTATTATTATTATTATTATTATTATTATTATTCTTTTGTTTGTTCCGCTACAGGATGTGACAAAAAAAAAAAAAAAAAAAAAGTTTGTAAATAATTTTTTTTTTTTTTTTTTGATTTGTAATTATCTATCATACGAAAATGTATACTTTAAAAGGAACAAAAAAATCATATGTGGCGTCGTCGTTTGTTGTTTTCGTTTGTTTTTAATAGAAAGCGGTGATTTTTTTTTTTTTTTTTTTTTCGTTTGTTCGGGTTTTTTTCGTTTGTTTAAAAAATTCGAGACGAGAGAGGAGTGATTGATTTATTTTTTGGGAAGGGAAGGAAGGGAAAGGAAAAGAATTTAAATAAAGAAAAATGGCACTCGTACAAATGGGAAAACGTCAACATTGTTATTTATGCGATTTGCCGCGTATGCCGTGGGCGATGCTCCACGATTTTTCCGAAGCCGTTTGCCGCGGATGTGTCAATTACGAGGGTGCGGACAGAATCGAAATAGTTTTGGAAACGGCGAGGCAAATGAAGAGAGCTCACGGATTTCAGGAATCCACGAGATCCGGATCCTCGTCGTCGTCGTCGTCGTCGTCGAGTCATTCCAATTCGCAAAAAACGAGTTTAAATCACCGGTCGTCTAATCACGAATCTCAAAACGGTGTGGATTTGATAGGGATTCCCGGGCCGCAAACGCAGGGACGTAACAATCCGCCGGGTACGAATTACGTCTTGCACCACTCGCGAACGGGTTTGCTAACGGAATATTCGAGCGCGGCGGGTCCGCCCGGGTCTCGATCCCGCGGTGACTCCGCTCCGAACGCCGCCGCCGATCACGAAATACTAACGAGACAATCCGTTCGATTGCCATCGGCGGCACACTTGGCCGTGGCTCACATGCCGCAAAGTCACCACAGAACGAATTCGCTCCCGTCGCAAAACACTCTCAAGAGAGGGTTGTCGACTCCGTTGGAAGCGGACGAGGAGCATCATCACGATAGCAAGAGAATGATATCCGTCGAGGATCAGGTGTCCAGGCCGCCGCTCACAAGGGGTGAAAGCCTTCCGGCCGTTTCATTGGCCGTACCCTTCGTGGCCGCGGAAAGAACTTTCAAAACGGAAAAACACCCCATTCGAGCTCCGAGTTTCGACACGGCGACGAGTTTCAAACCCAACGGTAAGTCGTTTGGCAAACGTCGCCGCCATTTTTCTTTTTTTTTTTTTTTTTTTTTTTGATGTTTTACGAACGGGAACGTGCACACCCGAACGCGTGACCGCGTTTTTGTAAAGAATTTTTTTTTTTATAACCCTCGAAGAAGACATGGAGTAGGTCACGTTTCTTTTTCTCTTTTTTCAACCAATAATGTTGCATAACACCTGAAATGCAATTTGCGTTCCACCATGTAAAATGTCATTATCATGTCTGCCAACCATGGCATGCTTATCGCTACGTCACGCATTGCTGATTTTTTTTTTTTATTTTTTTTTTATTTTCGAACAATGAAAAAAAAATAGCTGACGAGTAAAGTTTTTTTTTTTCGTTCGATTCGTTCGCGAACAAAAAAAAAAAAAAAAAAAAAAATTTAAATTTAAAACGAAGGAAACCAAATAACGAATATCGATCGGATGGTTTTTCCCCTTTCTATTTCTCTCTCTCTCTCTCTCTCTCTTTCTCTCCCTGTCCGACACCTCCCTCCCTCGTTCTTTCGGGATTTAACTGAAAATGCGAGATTTTTTTTTTTTTTTTTTTTTTTTCTGTTGGCTTTGTTCGATTGTTACGTTACGAATAATAATTATTATTATTATTAATATTATTACGTTCGGAAAGAAAATCGAAATGATGATTGGTGGTCGTGGCGGCGGTGGAATGGTGGTGGTCGAGGAGGAGAATTGATTGAATGAATAAATGAATGAATGAATGAATGAAAATAGTCATTAGTTTTTTTTTTTTTTTTTTTTTTTTTGTGTCGTTTTCATCCGAAACTTGGCAGTCATTTTGCCCGCAATTATTTTGCTTTGTTTTTTTTAACGCCATTATCATCATCATCATTATTATTATTAATAATATTATTTTCGAAACTGAAAATAATGATAATGATAATAATAATTCAAACGGTCGTTCGCTATTAATAATGCAAAACATATAACTCGAGCTATGAATTAACGTGCCAAATGTTTGTTTTTTTAATACAAAGCCATAAAAAGGCTCAAACTCTTTCCTCTTCCGTTCGATGCGTGTGCGTGCGTGCGTGCGTGCGTGCGTGCGTGTGTGGGAAAATCGTGGATCGATCGATTCGAAAAAGTTGTCGTTTCTTTTCGATGGGACGTGCGTGTCTGTGTGTGTGTGTGTGTGTGTGTGTGTCCAATCAACTTCCTAAAAATTATTATTATTATTATTTTTTTTTCTCTCTCGCGAATCTAAATTGTCCCCGTGAATAATAATAATAATAATAATAATAATAATAATAATAATAATAATAATAATAATAATTCATAAGTCGTGCTAATGTTAACGACAACGACGAAAAAAAAAAAAAACAATCGTTTTCGAGATAATTCGAAAGCTTTGTATTTCGGTCATGCATTTTTTTTTTTTTTTAATGTTCGTTTTGTTCACAGACTTTGAAGGTCTTATGAAAATGCGTATTGTCTCTCCCCTTCTCCCCCCCCTTTTGCCTTTCCCATTCGATTGATCGTTAATGACGTTTCCGCCGTCTCCCATCATTCGTCGGGCGGGAAGGGGGAAGGTGAAGGCGAAATTTTTTTTTTTTTTTTTTTGATGATTATTTGTGAAAGGTTTGCTTATGATGATGACGTAATGGAGGATAAGGCTCGCGTCTACGTGGGTGGGCGTGTGTCGTTTGTTGTTGTTAATTGCATTAATGGTGTGGCTGTGACGTTGGTCGTTTTGTAATTGCTTTAATTTCTATCTTTCTCTCTTTCTCTCTCTCTCTCTCTCTCTCTCTCTCTCTCTCTCTCTCTCTCTCTCTCTCTCTCTCTGTCGTACAGCATCGTCGTGTTGGGGGCGATGTCGCTATTAATTGGCAAGTCGCGGTTGAAAGTGTCGTCTGGTCAATAGGACGGGATGGGTAATGGGGCACAACCATTGCAAGGATGTTGTGAATGCGGGGGTTCAAGGATCAAGGCATGATCCCCGCCGTGATCCTTTTCTTAAAAGGCTATTACTATTAATCAAAATGAGGGGATCATTGTATATTCCTTAAGAGATGAACGGTTGGGGGGGGGGGAAAAGGCGCGAGAATGTTGAGTGCGCGAACATCAATTGTGATTTTTTTTCTTAGCTTTTCCAACGCAGAAAAGACTATGCCGCGAATATTAATAATAATAATAATAAATTTGTGTGGTCACGCACACGCACACGCACGCACACCTTTTGCTTTTTGATAACGCCAACGCTCGAGTGAATTTTTTTTTTTTAAATTTTAAACTGAGGGAGGAGAAGCCTTGAAGGGTTTTATTTGGGCATCGGTTTCTATTCTGTCATTATTATCGTCGTCATTCTCATCATTATGATCATCATCATCATCATCAAAAAAATCATTTATACATTTATCATATCGATCGTTGAAGTAAATAATTAATTTTTGTAATATTGGCTAAACTGCGCGTTTTTTCGTAGCGTAGTGGCTCATATAATGCCTTACAAGCGGAAAATTTGCCAAGGTAATCTCGATAACACACATTTTTATTATTATTATTATTATTGTTTTTTCCGTTATCTCTCTCTCTCTCTCTCTCTCTCTCTCTCTCTCTCTCTCTCTTTCTCTCTCTCTCTCTTGCTACAGCGTTAAGGAATTTTTCAAAACGAAAGTAATAAACGAAAACTTGCGGTTTTTTGCAGTTTACGTAGACGGGAGGAGAGGAGAGGAGAGGATAGGGGGGGGAATAAAAATGCGTTTGTCGTTTGCGTACGTATAACACTGTATTGCAATGAAAAAAAGGAGGCCGCGACCACAGGCTATCAAATCAAATTGGCAACAAACCGAACCGAAAATAAAAACAAAATGAAAAACGTTATCCGTTCGAAAGTTAATTATTATTATTATTATTATTAATATTTACCTTGCGCAATTTTCTTTTTTTGAACCGTGCAAAAAAAAAAATCGTTGAATTGAAAATAATAATAATAATAATAATAATAATAATAATAATAATAATAATAATAATAATAATATTGCGGCCGCGCAAGAAAACCTTTCCATCGATACATTTTTTTTTTTTTTGTTGGTATCAATCACGTTCGAAAGTGAAGTTTTTTTCATTAAAATTTCCGATGATTATTATTATTATTATTATTATTGGTTCGACACGTTGCTTTTTTTTTTTTTTTTAAGGTTGTGTTACGTTGCGTAACTCTTTTTGGTTTGGTTTTTTTTTTTTTTGAATTCCTAGCTACGCTCCAGTTTAATAATAATAATGAATTTTACACTTTTTGATTTTTTCAACCGTCGCAATGATGATGATTAGTATTATTATTATTATCATTATTATTAAAATATTCGGCATTGTTATTGTGTGTGCGTTAGTGCGTGCGTGCATGCATGCGTGCTGCGGGCGTGCGTGAGGTTGCGTTTGGTATCCCACGAGAAAATCAAAGTGCAACCGCGTGGAAATCCCCCCGGTCTCGTCCGTCGGTTTTATTTATTTTTTTTTTCGTGTTTTTTGGTTGTTGTTGTTGTTGTTGTTGTTGTCGTCGTCGTCGTCTGCTCTTGTTATTTTCTAAAATGATCGATTCCGAAAAAGAAAAAAAATGGGGGGTGGTGAAATTTAGTTTTTTTTTTTTTATTTCAAATTTTGTTATAATTACTATTATCATTATTATTATCATTATTATTATTATTATTATTATTATTATTATTATTATCGTGTTTTGCTTATGCGCGTATCGACACGATTTTACAAATCCGCGCATGAATCGATACACACTGAATGGAAAAATTGTGCGTGACGTCACGGGAAAAAAAAATTTTTTCGTTTTTTTTTTTCGTAAGACGACGCGGACTTTGAGTGTTACTACTTTTATTGCTGTCGTTGTTGTTGTTGTTGTTGTTGTTGTTGTTGCTTTCATTTTTTTTTTTTTACATTACATTACATCGGTCAAGGTGAAGATATGAAACAAACGTTACAAAAAGAAACGAAGGCAAAAACGAGTGAGAGAGAGAGAGAGAGAGAGAGAGAGAGAGAGAGAGAGAGAGAGAGAGAGAGAGAGAGAGAGAGAGAGAAAACAAACGAGAATCGCGCATTCCCGCCGGAAATTTTCAGCGGCGCAAATACGAAAATAACGTTAATTATGTCGTTGTTATTATTATTATTATTATTATTATCATTATTATTTTATAGCCTCAGGTCACCGGCGGTGATAATGTTGTTTTTATTCTATTTTTTTTTTTAAACGTGCGTGAATGAAAGAGTTCAAAAGTCGAAACTTTCATCCCACGTGTGAAAACTTACGTACGTACGTAATTAAAAGTTACTTAATAACGAGAGAGAGAGAGAGAGAGAGAGAGAGAGAGAAAAAAAATGTTTGTTTGCGTAAAGGAAGTAGTAGTAGTGGTAGTAGTAGGAGTAGTAGAAGTGGTTGTAGTAGCAGTAGCAGTGGCAGTAGCAGCCTGAGGACGATGAGAAAGAAGAAGAAAAAAAAAAACTTTTAACATTGTATTGTGTTATGGTACGTTAAAAAGAAAACTGTGTAACGCAACTTGTCTTGTTTTCTCGTCTTCGGCCACCCGTGTGGGTTTTTTTTTTTTTTTTTTTTTTTTTTATCAGTTGTCATTGATTCGTCCTTTACGCGCACGCACTCACGCACGCATGCACGCATGCACACTCCCATCAAGTGATATTTAAAATTGATTTCAATTTCGTAAATGTATAGAAAAAAGAACGGGAATGGGATTTTGGAAATGGTTGTTGTTGTTGTTGTTGTTTGTCGGTTGGCGTGTAACGGTTTTTTGAATTTGTGTGGATTCTTTTTTTTTTTTTCTTCATTTCCTCGAGCCCGCGGCGAACAAAGTTTTCGCGACATCATCATCATCATTATTATTATCATGATCATTATCATCGTCGTTTTAAAAAAAAGAAATTTCGAAGCGGCGGTTGCGCGTTGAAAGAAAGAAAGCGGGTTAAGTAAAACGAACGATAGAGAGAGAGAGAGAGGGAGAGAATGTGTAGCAGTGCGTAAAAGGTCAACGACCTATCTCAATTTATCAGCTGATGTGCAACGGTCATGTGACGTCATTAGACTCAACCAAATGCAAGGTCAGTCTCGCAGCAAGCACTCGCTTTCCTCGGTTGTTGTTGTTGTTGTTGTTTGCAGCCTTCCTTTTCGTTTTCGTTTTCGTTTTTTTTTTTTTTTCTTTTACGAATTCGTAACCTTAATAATAATAATAATAATAATAATAGCGACGGCGACGACAACAAATTTTTTTTATATTGATTTAGTTAAATGTGTGTTACGAAGGAATTGCCCTGACATAATTACACTTATCAATTCATGTGGCAAAAAAATTGAAGCCTTTTCTCATTCGTTGCTCGCGTTATCGACGTTACTACGCGCACGCACGCACGCACGCACACGCACGCGCGATCGCGATCGCTTTTTAAAACGAGAAATGAATTCGAGTCGGGTTGCTCAACGTTATGTTTCTATGTGTAATATATTCGATGTTATTATTATCATTATTATTATTATTATTAATGGAATTGCGTAAACGTAAATGTACCGGTTATTACCGGTTTCGCGGTTTTTTTTTTTAAAATTTTAACCTTAAACGAAATCCTCGTCGTATTGTTTGTTACCACCGACCACGTTTGGGTTGTTGTTGTTGTTGTTGTTGTCGGGGTACCGGTTAAACAGGATATTTTTTTTTTCGAGTGGGTTTCTCCAAATACACCACCTGACACACATCAAAAACGTTTTAAAAAAAAAAAGTAGAGGGGAAGGGAGAGGAGGGGTGAGGGGGGTGGTGGTGGTGTAAGAAAGCAAGGGAAAAAGGTGTAGTAGTAGCAGCCTTGGATGAAATTTAAGGTCGTGGGAATAATCATTCGGTGGATGAAGCAATCAGAGCAGAAACTGGTTTCTCATCCTCGTCATCATTATTATTATTATTATTAAACATGTCCGTAATTATTATGTTCAAGTTTCGGAACGTTGGGTTTGTTACATTCTCTCTCTCTCTCTCTCTCTTTCTCTCCCTGCCCCTCTTTCTCTCTCTCTCTCGGACGAGGGAGCGAGAGAGTGAGAGCGAGGGGGGGGCAGAGCCGTGCGTTTCGTTTGTTGTGCGAAAACAAAAGAAATTATTTGTGAAAAAGCAAAAGGATTGTTGGTAACGGTACATTCGTGGCTCCATTCCATCCATCCATTTGTTCGTTTGTGCGTACGTCCGTTTGTGGGCGAGAATAAATGGTGTGGTGGGAGGAGAGGAGGGGAGGGGAGGAGGACGGGTTCGAAAGCGGAAATTACACGCATGCGTTTTTTTTTTTTTTTTTTTAAAATAATTTCCTGTCGTCGGATAACAACGCATCCGTTCGTGTAAACATTTGTTGTTCCCGTCTAATCCGTTTTAGGAATTCAAGTCCTGTGTCGTGACGACAAAATGACAATTTGTGACCGGTATATAAAAATTTTTTTAGAATTCTAGAAGGAGAAAGAGGAGAAGAAGAAGAAGAAGAAGAAACAAAAAGAATAGAATGGAGGAAGAAAGAAAGAAAGAACGTAAAACAAACAATTTAACGGTTTTTTTTTTTTTTCTAAAAAAAAAAAAGGACGAGAGGCCGTTTGATTAATGGGTGGTGATGGTGAGGGTGACGGTGGTGGTGGTTGAAACCACCCCAACCGTGATTCCAAGGCCACGAAAGGATTTTTATTTTTTTTTTTTTTTTATTCCATCCATTGTTTTGTAAATGAGGGAAAAATACACCTGCTGGAAAAGAGAGAGAGAGTTGAGTTGACCCAAAAAGCAGATGGTCATAATTAACGGTTTTGTTCAATGAATAGGAAATCAATCTTTTTTTTTTAGCCATCATTTCCTTTTTGCAGCAGCAGACGGTTTTTTTTTTTTTTTTTTTTTAAATTTTTTTTTTCCCTCCTTTTTTTTATTCTTTCTTTCTTTCGTTTTTTTTTTTTTTTCTTTTTGTTATTTCTTTTGTCTTTCTTTCCCTTTTCTTTTTTTTTTTTTTTATTTAAACGTCTTTTGTGAGACTTATTTTTATACTCTTTTTTTTCCCCCTCCCCTCTCTTCGAACGGGTAATGTTTTCGTTTTATTCAAATCGACCGACCGTTCTTTAATGGGTTTTCTCAAGGTTAGAGATTGATAAATAATAATAATAATAATAATAATAAGAGGAATGTTGTTGCGTCGGGGGCGAATGCTACTACCACCACGTTTGACCTTTTTTATTCTTCAAGGGTTGGCATGAGTGCGTGGGAGGCGGGAGGAGGAGGAGGAGGGGGAGGAAATTTGGAAAGACGATTGAGTATTTTTTTCGTTCTCTGTGACGTCATCGTCTTTTTTTTTCAGTCTCCGAATCCCGTCTCGAATAAATTTTGTTTTTTTTTTTTTTTTTTTTTTGGGGGGGGGGGCATTTTAAAATACATTTAAAATGTGTTTATTTCTCATGGTTTTTCGTTTCATCGTTTGTTTGTTTGTTTATTTATTTATTAATAACGTTGGATAATGTTCAGCCAAACGCCTTTAACACTTTTTTTTTTTTATTTTTTTATTTTTTTTCTTGTTTGTCGAGGAGGAGAAGAAGAAGGAAAAAAAGAAAAAGAAAAACTTGGGAAACGCTCGTCTAATCGTAGGCCGTGAGAGTCATCTTAGAATAAACGGATAGTTGCACGCCTGGTTTATCGTTTTTTTTTTTTTTTAAGTTTGGTGACGTCATTGAATTCTAAAAAAAACCTAGTTCGTATTTGATTATACGTGCGTTTCAAGGTTTTTTCCCCCCGTTCTTTTCTTTTTCTTCTGTTTATTTGTAATGGTTGATTCATAGAAATTACAGAATTTTTTATTTGTGTGTGTATTGGAGACTTTTTGAGTTTGTTGTTGTTGTTGTTGTTGTTTGTTTATTTTTCATCCTCGAATATATGTACGTATATGTGTTGTGAGCGTGCGTGCGTGTGTGTGTGTGCGTGTGAATTTAATGTTGGCAATCTTGTGATACGAATGATTACCGTGGCGCACGTAACGTTTTTTTTTCTTTCTTTCTTTCGGTGCATGATTAAAAACGTTTTTATAATATTCATATACGTTTATTTAACTGACGGTACGGTACGAAAGTAATGAAGGAAAAAAGAAAAAGAAAAGAAGTAAAAAATCAAAACAAAAACAAAAAAACAAAATTTACGTGATCGACCATGCATTTAATTTCCACCTTGAATTGATTGAATTAATTATTTTTTTTTAAAAAAACAGTTGTTTGCATAAGTCAACAATCGGGCCGACGTGATTTCTTAATTTTTATTATTTTATTTTTATTTTATTTTTGTTTGGCGGTTGACGTGAGCCTTGGATAAACATGGGCGGAACGTCGCGTGATATTTTTTCACATTTAATGCAGGAGTTGTTTGTGTGTGTGACGTCATGCATAGGTTGACATAATTGTGGTGTTGTTGATTTGAGGCCGAGCCAGCCGAGTCAGCCAAGCCAGCCAGCCAACAAGCCGGTTCGAACTTAACTGGGTTTATTATTATTATTATTATTATTATTTTTGCTTTCTCTCTTTCTCTTTCTCTCTCTCTCTTTCTCTTTCTACGACGTAATACAAAGTGTTGTTTGTTGGTTTTAGTAGGCAGTGTTTGTATTTCGCGTTTGTTCGTTTGTTCGTTCTTTATTTACTTTTTGTTTGTTTGTTTCTTTCGTATTCCTTTCTTTCCAGGTTTTCATCATCATCATCATCATCAATCACTTTTTTGGATTTGATTCGAACATGCATATGCAAACATGACGTTTTCTCTCTTCTTCGTTCTTAAAACGTTTCATTTCGTTTTCGTTTTTTGCGGGTTTCTCGTTCGTTGGCTCGTGATCATTAACGTCGTTACGCGTTTATTCACGACACGCCCCTTAGTCGAAAAAACAAAAAAAATTTTTTTCTTATTATTATTAAATTAAACGTGGCCTGATTTGATACAGGAAAAGAAAAAAGAAAAAACGATTGCGTGGGCGGGCAGACGCATTACGTGCACTAAAATGTTTTTTTAAATGTGAACAGAAAGAGATGAGAAAGGAAAAATTTTAAAACAAAGGAGGAAAATTGGCAACGCAGGAGGAGGAATCGGAAACGAATGCTGTCGCTTTAATCGACAACCGTACGCCGTACGTAACAACTTCCGGTTAAAAGTGAAATTTTTCCGTCGGCGAATAAGTTGCGAGATTCGATTCGGACAGACAATGACTCGATAAGGGGGAAATTATTTTTTATCTCCCCTCCCCTCCTTCTCCCCCCGATAAGGGTTTGTCGTTTCGTTTGATACGTGATTAACAAAAAAAAAAAAAAAAGTCGTGGCGGAAGAAAATGTTGATCGTGCACACAATGCCAAGAAAAATAAAAAAAAAAAAAAAAAAATGTTTCATTGATCACGACTTTCATTGCTGATTTTTTTTTTTTGTCTTCTGCTTCTGCTTTTGCTTCTTCTTTTTCGTCTGCTTCGTCTGCTTCCACGTACTTTTTTTCCCCCCGTCGTCGTCGTTTGTTTATAATTTAAAGTAAAAATAAAATAAAAAAAAAAATGGGGAAAAATTATTTTTAGATTCGAAGCGCACACACGAGGAGGATCACCACGCGAACGTTACTTAACATCAATTTGTGTTTTATTTGTTGATAAATTTAACCTACAACGCCTACCTGGTTGACTCGTACCTGGTCTCGGTGCCTATTTGTTGAAAAATTCTTGAAAATGTTGTGTCTGGTACGTGTGAATGTGTGTGTGTGTTTGTACTCGAGTGGAGTTCACACTCGACGTGATAAAAAAAAATCTAAAAGTAGATTTTGTTTAGGTATTTCCCTCTCCCTTCCTACATTTAGTCTCTCTGTCTCTCTCTCTCTCTAGTTTTCACACAGAAACCTTTGTACTTTGGTCGAGAGAATTTTTTTTAACATTTACTTATTATTATTATTATTATGGTTATTTCTAACGGCTGCGGGAAAACGCGGTGTGACGTCATTAATTTTCGCGAGAGTGACGCATAATTTTTTGATTTTGGTAATAATGCCGTCTTTCGGGCGCATTAAATTAGGTCGGTGAATATAACATAAAGTCACAGCCTTCTCGATTGTAATAATTTTGATTTCCGATCTGGAGTAAAATTGGATTTGAGTAAAATAAAAAAATTTTTTTTTTTTTTTTTTTTTTTTTTAGGATATCCAGGACCCGGTAACGTGTCGTTGTCGAATGGCTCGACGACAGCGGGTTCACCTTTGAACCCAAGAACTGGTTCGCCGCAAGAACACGTACCTCAATCTACGCCTACGCAGGGTCCACAACAACCATCGCAAAACGGTCAGTCTCCGATGGCGGCGTTGATGTCCGTCGCGGATAATTTACCACCCGGAAGTCCGAGAAGTGCTGGAGGAAGTCCTCCGGGAAGTGGAGGCCCGAGATCGGCGAGCAGGAGCAGTCAGCACTCTCCCAATTCCTCAGGTCGGTTTAATCATCGAGCCTTGACTTTTTTTTTCCGTTTGTTTAATTTCATTTTGAAAAAGAGGAAGAATGAAAATACATGTGGATGATCATTTCAGGTTCCTCAAGTGGGAGACGGTCATCGGGAAGCCGGCACGTTTCGTCGACGACCGTAACATCGAGCGAAGCTAACAGTCTGACAAACGGAACGGAAGCAGCGTGTTCGGCCGACGCGAACCAGTCTCAAACGAATACCATACCCACGACGACCACACTCAAATGCACACTTTGTCAAGAGCGACTCGAAGACACTCACTTCGTGCAGTGTCCGAGCGTGCCCCACCACAAATTTTGCTTTCCGTGTTCGAGAGATAGCATCAAGAGACAGGGAGCCGGAAACGAAGTCTACTGTCCGAGCGGTGAAAAATGCCCCCTCGCAAATTCCAACGTTCCTTGGGCTTTCATGCAGGGAGAAATATCAACCATACTAGGAGAAGAGTTCAAAGTGAAAAAAGAAAGGGAAACCTAGGAGGATTTCACGACGGATTCGCGTGAAGATTTCTTGCTCTAAGAGCTCTCCTTGCCTCTTAGGTTTCAGGTTTACCAACTCGGTTTCATTCGGGATGATTTCGTCTTTGAAAAAGACTAAGCTACCCGTCGGCAACCCGTTTATTTTGAAAAAATATTTTTTGAAAAAAAAAGAAAAAAAAATTATCCGTTGCGTCGCGACCCAACAAAACAAAACCACCCATTTTCACGTCGCGACGCCTTGTGAAATTTAGAACCGACCAAGAAAACCTTGATTGATTGATTGATTGATTGATTGATTCGTTCGCACATGCGCGTCGAGAGAAAAAGGAATAGGAGTAGGTAATAGTAATGATGATGATACGAGCAGGAAAAAAAAAGAAATTGAATTCCTTTCGGAAAATGTGCCGAGGGAATAGGAAAACTCATCATCGAGGGGAGAGGAGAGGAGTATGGAAGGAGGAGGAAGAGGAGAGGGGGGGGACGAAAACAAATTAGAAACGAATTATATATTTATCACAAAATTTCCATTCTGATAAGAAAATATCGAATAGATAAGGATTGAATGATTTTTAAAGAGGAAAAAAAAAACGATGATAAGACGCGGTCGTATCGACGTGTGGCTGTCGTGGCATAGTTACAAGAGAAATTTATGAATTTTTTTGTGCTGTAGTCGAAGCCTCAATTTCAACCTCTCAGCATCCCCGACAGAACCATAAGGTTCACGCACTGGACTTGATAGTTCGCTACCGTTCATCTATCTATCTCTGTCTTTCACGTCGTACGGGGAAAAAGTCTGTGCCCAGCACACTGAGATCCAACATAATTTAAACAAAAATGTTCTTTCTTTTCTTCTTTGATTTATTCAAACAGGGAAATGCAATCGGGAAAAGATGAGGAAGAGAGAGAGAGAGAGAGAGAGAGAGAGAGAGAGAGAGAGGGAGGGATGGAGGTAGTGAAGGGAAAAGAGAGAAAGAAATATTTTGGTAGTTTGTGTCTGTCGTTGTTTGATTTTTTTTATTTTTCGTTCGTTCGTTCGTTTGTTTGTTTGTTTGTTTGTTTGATTCCTTTTTTTTTTTTTTTTTGTATATTCGAAAGTTATTAATTGTCTTCGAGCCAATTCCATAAAAAAAAAAAAAAAAAATTTCAATGAATAAAAATGTCTTCTGCTTTTCTTTCTCGTTCCACGTTCAATAAACAAATACTAGGCACGTGTTGTGTGTTGTTGGGCGTCCCAGTTAGTTATCGTTATTCTATTTTACAGCACCGATTTTGTTTTCCTTACCCTCTCTCTCTCTCTCTCTCTCTCTCCCCCTCTCCTCTCCGTGCGTCTGTGTGGCCGCTCCCCCCCACTCCCACCACCACCCCCTAAAGATTGCGTGTATTCGCGTATGAATCGAGTCGAATTCGACCTTTGAACTTTTAAGCATTTAAACCATTTAAAAAAAAATAAAATAAAATAAAATAAGAGAGCGAAGGGGGGAGGGACGAGAGGGAGAAAGGAGGAAGGAAGGAAGGGGGAGGAAAATCCCCTCCCCTCCTTTCACTCTTGTTTCCGCTCCGCACCGCTTCTGTCGTCGTCATCGTGTCGTCACAATCACAATTAGTGAATAATATTTGTTTTTATCAAATATTAATAATGATGACGATGATGATAATAATACGTTAGACAGATGCGCGCGTTTGTGTTTATTATTATTATTATTTTTTTTTTTTTTTTGTATTTAATGTACATTATTATTATTATTATTATTATATCTCGTACATATATATATATATATATATGTATTAATTATTTTATTTACAACAAATTAAATATAGAAAGTAAATATATATATATATATATATATATATGTATGTATGACGTGTATATATACATAATGCATAGTTTTTACGTTGATATTTTCATTACGGTAGTAGTTGATGCATTATTATTATTATTATTATCATTATCATTATAATTTCTTTTTTTTTTCTTTTGGTATTTCATCAAATTGAAATAATCAATTTGAAAATTGAAAAAAAAAAAGAGAAAAATGAATTTTTTTATTTTAAATGTACAAATTTGTTGTGAATATAACTACGATTTGTTATCATTATTATTATTATTATTATTATTTTGTAAAAAATTTGAATAAATTAAAAACGGATTTCGATTTTTTAAAAATGATGTAGAAGACAAATGATTGATTGATTGATTGATTGATTTCATTTTAATCGGGTACGGAAATACAACCGATCGATTAATCGATCGATCGATCGATCGTCGACGTTTCCGGTTTCCGGTTATTTTTCATGTCGGTATTTTATTGTTTTCTTATTTATTTATCGTAACGTAAAATGAATTTGTTCGTCGTCGTGAGAGAGAGAGAGAGAGAGAAAGACGGGGAGAGGGAAGGGGGAGGAGTGAGGTAAAAACGTTCGAAAGTGGATGGGGAAAGAAAAAAATGAAGAAGGGAAGGAGATTGAGGGGGATTGCGAGGAAAGGGGGAAAGTAAGATAAGATCGTTCGAAAGTGGGTTGGGGAAAGAATGTGAAGACGAAAGAGAGAGAGAGAGAGAGAGAGAGAAAAAAAAAGTAACAGACGGGGGAGAGAGAGATAGAGAGATTGCGAGGGAAGGGGAAAGTAAAGTAAAAAATGGGGTGAGGTAAGATTGCGAAGAAAGATAAGAAAAGGAAGGGGGAGGGAGGGAGAGGGAGAGATATCGATCGATAAAACGAACAAATTTTGTAGTTTTTTTTTTCATTTTTGACGTCGTCCGTCGCTGGCGTCGCTGTCGTCGCCATCGGCGTCACCGTAAAAATCATTATTATTATTTTAAAAAAATCGAAATTCGATTTTATGTGAAAAACTATTATTATTATTATGATTGAAATGAATTAATTTAGAAAAGGAATGGAAAAAAAAAAAGAAAAAAAAATTTCCCGCGTTTTTTTTTTTTTTTTAAACGTGTAAAAAATTTACTTTTGTAATTATTTTCGTCCATTTTTATTGAAAACAAATCAATAATTTGCACTTGATTCGTCGAAGAGGGGAGGGGACGAATAGGGAGGGGAAAAATAGGGGAAGGGGTAAAACGGTTTTTTTTAAATGAAATTTATTGCCCGTCGTTAGTATTCATTTGAAAGTGAAACGACGTGTACGTCATGTCGATTTATGTTGTTGGAGTTTTTAATTATTTTCTGTTGTTTTTATTAACATGCCGGCAATGGATTTTCGTAAGGTTTTTTTTTTCTTTTTTTTAAATAAATAACGAATTTGTTTTATAATTCGATACATATTTCGATTAATCGAATGTGAAACGATTTGAAAAAGAAAAAATTCCGTTAAAAGCAAGCTTTTATTGTTACGTCATCATCATCTCAATCATCATCGTTCTATTTCTAACGGTTTTTTCAAATTCGAATTTGTTCTATGACGTTTTTTGAAAAACTTTAAGCTTTCTTTTTTTTATTTCAAATTGTATAATTCGATGAATAAAATGACGTCAAACGTTTTGTAACCGTTCGAAAACCGTTACGTTTTTTCCGTTAATTTGTTTTTTAATTACGCGTTCGTTTAATCATAATTAAATTTAAATGTAAAATAATATGTAAGAGTGCGAGTTGATTCGGATTCGTTTTCAATTATCAAAATGGCGTCATGATTTTTTTCTTTTTTTTTTTTTTTTTCTTAAATTTCTTTTCTTATTTTTCTTATTGTTGTTGTCAGAACTGGGAACTCAACACTCGCTCATTGTGTAGATGATTTTTCATTCATTTTTTTATTTAAATTTAATTTTTTTAAATTTTTATTTATTCTTTGCTTCTTTCCTAAAACGTGTAAAATAATAACGGGTGTAAAAAGAAGAGAAAAAAAAAACGATTTTTTTTTCTTTCTTTAATATTATTATTATTATTATTATTAAATATTCGTTTGTATAGTTCAGGTATTATTATTATTATTATTATTATTGTAATTGATATTAAAATGTTTATACTACTTGTTTATTTTTCGAGGTACGATCGATAATAATGTAATGATTATATATAAATATGATATGTAAAAAGAAAATTTTTATTATATATAAAAAGAAAAACGTTTTGGAAAATTTTCGTTTTTTTTTCACCATGATTTGAATGAAAAAGGAAAAAAGGAAAAAGGAAGGAAGGAAAAAAAAAATTTTATATAATGTAAATTAAATTTATTATTAAAAAAAAAAAAGAAATTATTTAATCATAAGCATACTCTCTCTCTCTCTTTTTCTCTCTCTCTCTCTTTCTCTCTCTCTCTCTCATTGTAAATTCCTTTGATTTTTCCTTTTTTTTACTTTTTCTTTCGAATCAGCAGTAATGAGATCCTACTACTATTTTGTTTTAGTCGAATTGATATTTAAGCTTTTTTTTTTTATTTATTTTTTCAATAGGTTTAATACAATTATGAAATTATTATTATTATTATTATTATTTTGTTTTAGATTCTTTATGATAATAATAATTAATTTTATTAATCGTTAATTTTCCCGTTTTAGAAAGAAAAAGAGAAAAAGAAAAAATCGATATATAATGGATTCGTACGTTTGTTTCTATATATGTATATAAATTATGACGTCATTACGAAGAAGGAGGCAACAAGACTATTTGTTAGTTCATAAATTGGCAATTCGTGACGGCAAGTAGGGGGAGAAAAAGAAAAAAAAAACAAAAAGGCGGTAAAATATTAATTTGGCAACAATGATTAGTTTATTATTTACATTTCGGCTACTGCGTCGTTAACCTTTTTTACTTGATGTTGTTTTTAAATTGAATTCGGGGGTTGTTTTTTTTTTTTTTTTTTTTTTTTTTCCTCCTTCCTTCCCTTCCCCCTTCCCTTCCTTTTTTAGTTTTTACAAATTTTTTTTTTTTTTTTTTCCCCCCGAAAAAAAAAAAAAAAATTATACATAATTTTTTTTTTTTTTTTTGAAAAAAAAAAAAAGTATAAAATTGACGTTTAAAAAGTTAAAAGTTTTTTTTTTTTTTTTTTTTTTTTTTTTAAAAAGAAAATAAATCAAGTAAAATTTTTATTTAATTAATTTGAAGAAATTTCTTTTTCTTTCTTTCTTTCTTTGCCTTTTTTTTTTTTGTATTGTGAATTCGTTATTTTATATTATTTCATCGGTGTTATTAAGTTGTTGTAAGTTATATATTAATAATTTTATTTATTCATTGTTTTTTCATGTACACATAAGTGAAACAAATTTTTATTGGTTATACTTATTAACCTCAAAAACACAGTATTATTATTATTATTATCAAACAAAATTTTTATTGATTCGATTTGATTTGTTAAATTTTTGTAATATTGTTGAATTCGACAGAACCTTTTTTCATTACTTTTATTAATTTAAACAAAATGGTTGTTTGTTTTCATTCATCATTCATTATATATTATCATTATTATTTTTATTTATATTTAAATATTGTAAAGCTTTTTCACTTACTATTATGAAGCATGCAGTATGAATACATACTTATATCGAATAATTTTTTTCCAGCATTAATCGAGAAGTTTTTTTTTTTTAATATCGATTATAACAATCATCATAACTTTTACCATCAATTGAGTAACATGTTTAATTACAATTATTGTTTACAGGGATCATTGTTGCAACATTCGAGTGACGTTACAATGAATACAAATTTATTTTTTTTATTAGTTTCGATAATGATGTTAATGATGATGTTAATGATGTAGTGACAACTCGTCAAAGTTTCATGTTTATTACTAAACGTATTGCAATCATAAAGGAATTCAATCGTTTAACATTAATTAAAAGTTTTAGTAAGTAATAATAATAATAATTATATAAAATGAGATTTTGTTATGTGTTTTAGGAAGTTGTAACACTCATGACAAATCCAAAGCTTAAAAAGCAACATGGAAGAAAGCATAAGACGCGCAGAGAAGTTAGTCTGCGACACAAATTCAGCTTTAGCGCAAATGAAGTACAATTTGACATTTGACGGTTTCAATAATAATAGGGAACCCCAAACGAAACGCCCCAATCAAAATCAGGATAAATCTAAAATTAATTTTATTTCGGATGATGATGATTTGTTAAATTTTCAATTAGATTTTAAAACTGATGCAAATGAAATATTATCGAAAATGGATAAAATGTTGGATCTGAATCAGTATACTATGTCATCAAGGTTTGATACCCTGTGATGTTATAACCTTTTTGGAAATTTTAAATAAAAAGAAAAAAACCAACGAGAGTATTATTATTATTATTGTTTTATTTTTCAGGTTTTTACAATCCAAAGCAAGGAATAGAATAAAAGAAATAAATCGAAATTTTAATAGTAGTAAAAAATTAGAATCATCAAAATCATTGGAATTAGAACGTAGCAGAACTAAATTATTAAGTTTGATTAAAGAAGATGTTGATGATGATGATGATGATGATGATGATGATGTTGGTAATGATTATAATAATAAAAAAAAAAAAAAAAATTCATTTGATGTTAAATGTCCATTCGAAGATTTTGATCCGACATTAACATTAATGGGTGGTGGTAACAACATTAATAATAATAATAACTTTTCGTCGTATAAAAATTTAATGAATAATAAAAAAAAATCTCCGGTGCCTGATAATAAGCAAAGCCTGAGCCTGAAAAACATTCACGACTACCTCGCATCATCGAGTGAAAAATCTAAAAACGAATTGAAAAATAAATTATTGGAAACTCAAGAAATTGTCGATAGAGGATAT